CCTCAATGCAAGCAGATAGATATTTAATGGAAATCCAATACATCTAAGGTCCTCTATAGCTTGTCAACAAAAACATGGTATTGCGTCCACACTTTGTTCAGAGTACAGCTTGGATTCAGCAATAAAGAGGGGCATGGGGAAAGGAAGCAATATGCTGAGTTCTGGAAAAAATCATGAGGTTTTGTAGCACACTCACTTAATTATTAGCACACTCACTTTTTATTTCCTGTTTCAGGTACTAGTTTGAAAAAATGTACAAAAAAATTAACAGCACTCACAAATAAATGCTGAATAACAATCTCGAGATTAAGCATTAGTTTTCTTCACAAACGCATCCAATCAAATACATCACACATGATGACAAAAAATAACAATAAGCTAAACTACAGGAACTTTGACCAAAAAGTTCAGACACTTAGGCTTCAGTTACGGTTCTCCCTCAATAACACAATAACTTTAAAAACTGTTGCAAAGTGGTATCATTTTTCCTCCCCACTTATCTAAATTATTAAAGCTCAGAATACCAGCTTATGTTTATGTCAACCCAAGACACGTACTCTATGATCATTCCCTTTTTCCTAAAACTCTTTCCTACTCAAGTTTCCAACACAGCAGCCTCTCTCAGTTTCCTTCCTACCTGACAGTTATACCTGGAGGTGCTTTTCTCTGTCCATCCAAGTGGATGTTATTCTTCTCCAAAATACTACCCCTAGCCATATTTATTCTTTTCATCCTATGTGACTACCTCTCCTCTATAATTATTTCCTATGGTGTCTCATTCTCAACTGCAGACCTCTGTGCTGAGTCCAGTTCATCTATACACCTCTGTGTGGGGCATGCTAACTGATATATTTATTCATGAGTGATCATGTTTATGCCTCAAATATTTTCCTATACAGGTTAAGCATCTCTAATCCAAAACATGCAATCAAAAATACTGCAAAATCCAAAACTGTTGACGTGTGGGACTTTGGTGCCTTATGGATTCATCATATTAGGATTCTCTTTTTTTTTTTCCTTGGTTTTTTTTTTTTGAGACAGGGTCTCACTATGTAGTTGAGACTGACCTGGAACTCACTGTGTAGTCCAGGCTGGTCTTGAACTCACAGCAGTCCTCCTGTCTCAGCCTCCCAAGTGCTGGGATTACAGGCGTGCGCCACCACACCCGGCCACATTAGGATTCTCAACATGTAAATTCTATATAAATATTCCTAAATCATAAATACTTCTGCTCCCAACCATTTGGGATAAGGGATATTCAACCTGTATTCATCTCAGTGATAAGTAATATTCTCCCTGCCCCTCAGATGTGAAGTCTAGACATGTAACAACCACCTATGTCCGTTTGGTTCTGTCTTGTTAGACTCCCCTAAATCTACCTGCTTATCCTCAGTAAAGTGCTCCTCATTTCCCTAACAGTCTATCAGAACCATTTTCTAAGTGGTCTCCTACTTTAAGGTCTAATCTGTCTCAATTCTTGTGTTTTTGCCTTTACAAACAATGCAGCAGCACGACTAAATCCCTGAAACCTGCCTATTCGAGAGAAGAAATGAGGGACATTCCCAAGGAAGGGGGAGTTTAAACAGAGACCATGAAATCTTAGATTGAGTAGAACAAAGAAAACAGGGAAGAAATTGGACGAATCAGTGAGTTTCAGAGCAAGGTGAAATTCACAATGCTTGTTAGAATGCAGGGCAGAAACCACACAATAGCTGAATTATGAGGAAAGAAGAAGTTTCTGTAATACTGCAGGAATTTATGCAGTAAGACCTTTCAGCCAGTATCAGATGTGGTATATTTCTTGGATTTTTTGAGAGATTTTACATTTTGAGAATGAAGATTTTAACTAGATATGTGAAAACAGGAATATGCTTCTAGATGTTAATTTGAACACAGAGGTTCACATAAGAGTGCTATTTTATTACTGAAAAAACTGAAATATAAGCAACAATTTGGCATGCATTTATTTGTACTAAGGCAGTATTTTTTCTAGTTTATAAATTTGATTCTAGAATTTTATCCCAATAACTAGAAAAATAGGGGCAAAAATTGCTACTTTCATAAAAATTTATCTTAAGAGATAGATATTTTGAAATCTATTATTTTTTACTGTATGTTCAAAGTTGGCCGATACATTTTTCCAAAGGACTTTCTGTTGTGCTTATGTTGTTATCATCTGTATTTCAGATAACCCAGAATGTAAGATCCATTAAGACACATGTATTTTCTATCTGTAGTACATATCCAAAAGAACACACAGATTCATAGAAAATAAATAAATGGTGTGTGTTTGTGTGTGTGTGTGTGTGTGTGTGTGTGTTGCAAAGGACAAAACTTAGGGCCTCACACATGCTAAACATCCACTCTACTATAGAGGTACACCTCCAGCTCCAAATATTTTTAATCAACAAATAGTCATAGAACATTTGAGTAGAACTAGACAAGAAATAAAAAGGCAAATGAAAATGGTAGAAAAACTGAAAACAGACTCATCTTGTTCAACCTAATGGCAAAAAGTGAGGCACTGTGATGGTTTATGTTAACTGTTGACTTGGTTGGCTTGAGGGCTGCCTAGGGGAACAGTATAGCACACTTCTAGGTGTGTCTGGCTGGGTCCTAAAGGTGTGACCTTGGGGATCTTATCTGGTCCCTGACCCCTTCTTCTCAGGTGCTCTTACTCTATCCAGTACTGTTTCTAAGATACTATGAAAGGAGCAGTTTTACTCTGACATTCCCTTTTGCCCTGATGTTTCTGCCTTGGAGCCAGTCAGCCATAGACTGAAACCTCTGAAACCATGAGTCCAAGTTAAATTGCTCTTCCCTTAAGTTGTCAGTGCCAGATATTTTGTCCAGCAATTAAAAGCTAACGGATGCATTAGCTCTACTCACAAATAATATATTACTTACTTACAATGCATATAATACTTATAAAAAGTAAATGATTATCCTTGCAACACAAATGATTTTATTTAATATAGAGAAGTTTAAAATTGCTAATATCCATATTTCACAATAGGAGGTTAAATGATCTTCTTGGAAAATCATTAAAAATCTAAGGAGATACTTATCCATTTAATACAGCTGAGCAGTCCTATCTTCCCTGTGTGTCAAATGCTACACAAATCCCAAAAGCCTCCTCTACCTGACCACTGACTCATCGGAAACAATTCTCAAATATATCACTATGGCTGATCACTTTTGGTGTAGAACCATAATTTCTACACTCCAAATAGACTACAAAAGATAATTTTACTATTTGTTTCTAAAAAATGACAGATTTAGTCATCAAAAATAATCTTAAAACCTGACCTATAAAAAATAAGTTCATTAAATGAAATAATAAATCACATAATGTGAATATCAATATATGTAACATTTGCTATATTTTGGATATAAAACCCAGCAAATTTCTTCGTTTCTTTTTTTTAGTAAGATCTAGTCTCACAAGCCACAAGTGAATAAATGTTCTATTCTTTTACCAATGTTATTTTAAAAACTTACATATCATTTTTTTAAGCTACAAATTGAAAGGGCTGGGGATTTAGCTCAGTGATTCTTCCACCTGCCTCGCAAGTGCAAGGTCCTAAGTTTGATCCGTGGTACCAAAAAAAAAAAATTACATATTGTTGATCCTAAAATTCCAGTGAATGAAAAAATCACCACTGAGAACAAAATGAGTTTACAAAGTCCTATCATATATAACTACAGGACTAGTAATTTTGTTCAAAGGCCTTTTTAGGAATCTGTGTGCTTTCCACCAGGAGCTCTGAATTTGAAAATGACAATCACTTTGATTTATGAACCTCAACAGAGTTCAATCTTCATGATTATCTTGCATGATTAAACTTTTTTCCCATCTAAAAAAAGCTGTGCTTACGTTTAATCCAATTGTAACATGACTCATTCATTGTAAATCATCATTAATGACACTTAAATAAACTATAAAAACCATAGCTTAACACAGAGAGAATGGAGCCAACTGTTAGAATGCTACTTGGCCTCGGTCTCATGCCATGTCAGCCTCTAGGAGAATTCCTGAAAGAGCAGGAACTTTCCCAGAGCGTGGCATGATACAAATCTGATCTTCAGGGAAGATGGAACATTCCAAAGTTGAAATGTTTTGAGTAGTAAATATCTTAATATAATTGTAAGTTTCAATGACTTCAAACAGCAGGGCTTGTAGTAGATGTTTTCCTTTCAAATAAATCATTTCTTTAGGATCTTCTGAAATGTTTTATTCCTGGTTATCGCTTAGGAATGTAGGAAGTGTCAATGAGATAATATTTATAAAGATTTTATGCTTGCAAAGAAAGGTGTTAAATATCTAGAGGTATTAGTGTATCCTATAAAAACTAACAAATAATGTTCTGAAATTTGAAAAACATCACTATGCTTTGTTCTTTGGGTACAATGTTTTGACAAAGCAAATAAATACCAGATTGAACTGAGGTCATACGGATAGTCAAAATTCAAAAGGATATCTAATTTTCTATAACATAAAGCCCAGGATTTCAATGTCTTTTAAAATATGAGCTATTTTAATTACTATCCAGTGTACTTACTGTCATGCAATAAAAAGTAACAATAATAGGAGCATTATCTACAGAACAGCATGTTTAACAAATTGCTAGTCTCTCACATCTCTGTGACTCATGATTGAACCAAACCTGGTTTTGTTTGTAATGTCAAAATAATCCCTTTCAACTCAATGTGTATTTAAAAAAAAAAAAAAAAAAACTGCCTTCTACCTTTCTTCAGAAGAGGAAAGAGAACAAAACAAAACATCTCTTTGAAATTTACCTTGAGTAATAAATCGCTCCATGTTTTCCTTGAAAGGCTGCATATGCTCTTTGGAAGAGACCTGGTACACTTTCCCAGCTTCAGTCTCACAGGCTAAAAGGAGAGAGGCACACTGTTTAGAGTGTCACAGGGCTAGTGGAGCATTAAAACAATTTTACAAACATACTAGCTAATGAACAAAACATCTCTTTGAAATTTACCTTGAGTAATAAATCGCTCCATGTTTTCCTTGAAAGGCTGCATATGCTCTTTGGAAGAGACCTGGTACACTTTCCCAGCTTCAGTCTCACAGGCTAAAAGGAGAGAGGCACACTGTTTAGAGTGTCACAGGGCTAGTGGAGCATTAAAACAATTTTACAAACATACTAGCTAATGCTAGAAAAGCTTGCTAACTGCCTTAACTGACATATGTGGCACATGCATTTTGGAAATGAGAGACGTCTATGATCAAGGTTTCTTTAGGGAATCACGAAAAGAAATTCTTCAGAATCCACACAGTTCCCTCACTTCCAAATCGATCACTTGCCAAATCTCTGAACTTCAGGCTCTTTATTTATAAAATACGCATACTACTAGAATGTGCCTCACAGTACAGGTATGAGGGTCAAATATATTAATAGATGTAATATGTCAGAGTAGTGCTTAGGACATAGTACAGCCATCGTGTGTAACTCTTTTCATCATTTTTTCATCGACTGACTTCTAACACAAGTTTATCCCTAAAGTCCAAATTTCTGAAAAAATAACAAAAACCAATAATGTTAGTAATGTTAGCACCACAACCAATATCTACAAAGTATCTATTGTCTGCCAAGAGATTTTCATCTACAACTTAAGTTAATACTTAGAATATGCTAGTAAGGTGACATCATGACTATAACTGACAGTGGAGAAAATTAAGGTTCTAATAAGTCACTAATTTTCTCAAGGGTCCATGTGTACCACAGTGGCAGATTCACAGCTGAAATCCTCATCTGTTAATCAAAGTTAATCTTCCTACCATGTCTGTGACATCATAAATATTTTTAGGTAGTCTACAGATCCAATTGGGGCTATTGTAGCAAAATTTTCCAAAGCAACGCCTGCCATCGTGGCGATAACAAGAAACCCAACTGACAAACGAAGGAACTCAAAACTGAAAAGTATAGTATGTATTTGAGGCTTGGCATGGTGAACCATGCCTGTAATCCCAGCACTCTGGGAGGCTGAGGCAGAAGGATCACAAGTTCAAGCCCAGCCAGGCCAACTTGTTGACTTAGGGAGGCCCTATCAACAAACAAACAAACAAACAAACAAACAGAAAGGCAGGTTGGGGAGCTTTATAGCTCAATAGGAATGCCCTAGGTTCAAACCCCAATACTGTAAAAATTAAAAGGTACATATATGAAAGCCAAAACACTTGTCAGACCCATATCTGACTCAGGAAAACACATTCTGATATTTTGTGCAGACTAAATGCAAATTCTGAGGTAAGGATGCCATTTCTATGACTTCATTCTTAGACTCTTTAACTTGCTTTCTTTTTCTTTATGAAACTGTACTTTCCTTTTACCCCCACCCCAAACCAGGCCATTAATTTGTCGTGGCAGGGGAAGGCAGGATGGCTGTATTGTTTGCACACATTTTCTTCATCCAAGGTAAGAGAAAACTTGGCTTAGTAAAATCTGAGACCAGATTTGAACATCTAAAGTTCTCCCTCCTATCTCCCCTCCCTCCCTGGGCACTATCTTGCACCTAAGATGCCAGAGATTGCCCAATCTATACCCTCAGTTCAGCTATCTTATTGCTCCAGACACACATATTAAACTTCTGCCCATATCAAATCCTCAGTATTTTCCACACAGGACTCATTACTATCTTCTCTAAACTTATTACCTCCCTGCTTTCTCTTTGTTGGTGGAACCACTATCTAACCTAAAAACTCGGGCTAAAATAGGAGAGTTGTTCTTGAGTCACTTTCTTTACTTCAAAATTCTGCAGTTTTCCCCTCATAAATATTTCTTAAGTTGGCTTAATTCTCTGAATTCCTGGACTATTATAGCACAAACACCCTCATCCCTCCTACTTACTCAGGCTGCTATAAAAACTTCTCACCTGGGCTTTCTAGCCCCAACATTACACAGACCTATGGTCCTCCTCACAGCTTTAAAAGCTATCCAGACAAGACAGGATAGATTACCTAAAGCTGTTCAGTAACTTCTGAACTTTCAGCTATATTCTGTTGTTAGAGGAAGAGAAGAACAATTTCAAAGCATATAATATAAGACATAGCACTTTCTACAATGTAGGCTTTGGTGAACATTCAAATCATTTGTGAACTCTGATATTTTGTGCAGACAAAATGCAAATTTTCATCTCCCCATTCATGCTCATGATGCCTTCTATGCTTAAAATGATTCCTCTTTATATCCTCACTTTTAAATTGCCAATTCCCACTATAACTTTATAACTTAGATGTGACTGTCCCTTAGAGGCAACCCTGACCTCCCTACATCCCCTACTTTCCCCCATCCCTGCCACCTGCCCCCAGGCAGGCCTGGGTATCTCCCCTCTGTGATGCCACTCCTTTTTGTATTTATAGAGTTAAAGCTATTGTTTACTGAGCAAGTTTATGTGCCAGGGACTCTTTCTAAATGTTTTACATGTACTGTCCCATTCAATCCTCATAAAACCCCTTGGAAGTACATTACTCATATATTTACTTTACCTCAGAGAAAAAATACAGTACAAAGAAAATGCCCACATTTGCTGAGTTCATAAGTTAAGGAAGAGGGTTTCAATATCAGCTACTGCACTCTATTCAAGGTATTTATAACTGTTTCTGTTCTGCTCTCCCAGATTGGACTATTTGTGAGGAAATCTGTCATATTTCCATTTTTACCTCTAGTGTCTGACCCAGGCAAAACGTTGTTGAAAGGGTGAGAGGCTGGAAAAATACCTATAGAAATAGAAATATTCTAGAGTGTGGAATCTAGCAAACAAAGTTTAAATTCCATTTCATTCATCCCCTGAATGCAACATGGGATGGGAGTTAATTACCTCACCTCTGAGGACCTGAGCTGCCCCAACCGACAGTAAGATAGTAAAATTTCTAACGTTAACGTGACACTGAGAAAATGTATTAAAAAATTCCCCAAACTGAACTTGGGATATGTAAGCAGGTATCTACAACAAATGGTAATTGCTGTCCTTTTATAACAGGAGAGTTCAGGTTAGAAAAGTCTAAAATGAAATATAGTAGCAGCTTAAGAGCTGAAGTATGGGCTCAAAACCAGACTTCTTGCATCTTGATTCCACAGAAGGAAACGCTGAAGGAGCAGAAGTTAGAAAAAGAGCTGTGGGTTCAGCATGAAGTGGATGCCTAACATTTAGGGAACTCCTACAGTGAAGTCACAGCCTTGGGAGGTGTGGATGCCTGTGGGGTACTTCAGCGCCGGCTTATTCAGAAATTAGCTGGTGGAAGACGTGAGTCAGATTAGGACACACTGCAGTCAATTTCCTGTGGTCTATGTCACGTGTGGCAGCCCCATGTAGCTGAAACTCTGAACGCTTAATGTCTCCAGCTGAATAATAAGGATATACTCGATCACGTCATACTCCCTAGTGCCCAACAGCTTAAGCCAGTGTGGAAAAATAATATATAATATCTAGTCTCTTGCACCCGGCTTGATTCTCAACACTTAAAATCTAGAGGCAAGGAAGGTTAATGTTTTGACTAGTGATTCCAATTAGTTCATTTTTATTTTTAAAAAATTGAAACTAAAATGAACACCTGCCTTTTTTTGTTTATGATGCTATAGAATGTCTTGAGGCAGAGGATACTGTAAAAACACCCTAATTATATGAACTGGTAGAAATTGGTCTCATGGATCAGGTACCTGAAAGACTTCATTAGTTAAGAAACCAGGCTGCCTGTGATAAAGTCCACCAAAATTTCTCCGCATTTTTATTTTTACTCAATAACCTTTCATCAACAAGACATTCATCATTTAAGAAAATGCATGCTATAATAATTTTCCTTTAGTCTTTTTTTTATTTCAAATTGATTTTCACTTAATTTTACAAATATTCCCTGGCCCATTCATATGAACTTTTTTTTTTTTTTTTAATTTGGGTACCGGGGATCAAACTCAGGACCTTGCACTTGCAAAGTAGGCAGCAGAACCACTGAGCTAAATCCCCAGCCCATGTGAACTATATTCTTAACAAAAATGCAAGTATAAAAACAGTTCCTCTGTCTTTTCCCCTTACCCTATGTAGTATAATTTCTTGAACCTAGTGGGAATCAAATAGGATTTTTAGTCTAGAAGAGCCATAAATATATATATATATATAACCAGTATGTTTCCAGCAATATCCACCCACTTTTTCCTTACAAAACTGTTTTGTTCATTAGATTTCCCAACCAAATACTGAGTAGAAAACTCTGTGTAGTACATTGGCTATGGAACGCTATGACTGCAGGTTGCTGTGTAACACTCCAGGAATATTCATAGAAAATGTGTGCACTTATAAAATAAGTTTAAAAAAATTAAGCCCACCATTGATAATTCAGGTCTTCAATGAGTGTCAGAACAAATCCGCTCTCATTAAGGACAGATTTCTCCTCTACATATCTCATAGCATTCTCAATTTATCCGTGCCATTGTGTTGCCAGTACTCATAACATCCTCTAACAGGAAATGTGCACTTAACAGTTAATTAATTATCTGTGGAATGCATGGATATATTAATTCCATCCTTTCATAGAGTTCTTATTAACTTGCAAAATATCATATCATTCATATTTCCCTGAGCCTTATTCACATTATTCACCCATCTAACATATTTTTACCCCTTGCAATCAATCAGGTGTCAAACTTCTGCTTATCTATTCCTACCCAGCCTCTGATCCAACTGCCACCCTAAGCTAAAAAGTATGATCTCACCCTCAACTTTGTAACTCTTTTTCTACAGAACGTGTGAATAATATGAAATAAAAGCAAAGCTTGGATAAAATAGATCTGAATTCAAGTCTAGTTCTACAACTAGCTGTGTAATTTTGGGCTAGTTTCTTAAATTAACTGAGATCCAACAAGAAGTTGAACTTTAAATGCTAAGCACTGATCTGGTTGTCAGGATCTCATAAAACATGACAGTTGTTAATGATATTGTCTCGTATTTATTTATTTGTGTATCTTTGTCCCTAATTGCAGTTCACATTTCTTGAAGCCCAGGGCTGCCCTATTCATTTTTGTGTATCTAGTGTCTGAAATACAGAAGTATTAAAAATCTTGTATGAAAGAAATGCTTT